TCTGGTCTATTTTAGAACTTAAAGTATGGGTATGTTGCAAATTACTGCACATTTTTTGTATCATAGACGTTATGAGAAGGATAGTCACAACAATATATATCTACAGTAATTGTGATAAAGAAAATAATTACTTCTTTTACAGCAATACATAATGTTTAATCTTCATCATTGAGTATCTTCAATTCATTACTCCTGCCTGCAAAGTGCGTGCCTGTTATATATCGTCACTTAGCAGCTATGTTTAGGATTCTTTATTCAGTTTGGTTCCTTTCGTTTTGTAAGATTTTTCTTTACGTAAAGCTTTTTACTATCAATAATGCCAACACATAATAAAAATAGATTGTTCTTGAAAATGAAAATATAATATCAACCTGAAACATTCAAAATATATAAAAATAAATCTTATCATGTAGCACAAGATTTTTAGTCCTCATACTCACAATCAAGTATACTGTAAATTTGTCATATAACTCTCTTAAGTTGACTAAGTCACATATTTCTGTAACAGGCACCAAAGGGAACATCACTCAATGAAGCAACGTAACAGGTTGTCGGAAGTTTTCAGATTTCTTTGAAGCCTGCAATGACAGAACGTTAGCTTTTAAAAAGTTCAACAAAACATAAACGAACAGGAATAATGAAATGATGAACGTAATAATAATGAATAAAAAATACTTTTAAAGAAATGAAAGTAGTCATATAGATAAAATGTTGAATGCATGATAGTCATTTGTTTGTGCTGTATTGTTCGTTTCACCAAGTAGGCACGGCGGTAATAAGGCAACTCTTGGAAGTCTTTCACCCCTCAACGATATTCCCTTTGTCATACAGATTTGGTGAAACTTAGGTATTACTATCTGATAAGTAAATATGTCCATAAGGAGGTACTCCTTACGGACTCATTTCACTGCCATCAAATTTTGCAAGTTGTGGTGGTGGTCCTCACACAGCCTGCGCACAGGGTTCAACTTCTTGCAGACCGCGATAAGATGGTCGAACCGTTGCATCTTGGTGGAGTCATCGAGACAACTAAGATCATTCGTATGAGGGTGCCCACGAAAGCCTTAGACATCATATTCCAAATGTCTTGCTCTACAGACAGGGTGGGAGGGTGTTATGTTCTCGGCCTAGGCCACCCCAGTTTGGACCCTCTATCAAGCCACAAGCCAAACGCGCCCCTCTCCCTCTCCTACCGCCGCCCCTTCTCGTCGATGGCGCTGTCGCAGCCCCTTAGCCGCGCCCACGTCGCCCCTTCCTTCCCTCCCTGACCCCCACCCTTCCCCTCCCCCACCCATTTCCCGGCCGCCCGCGCTCCTTTTTTCCGAAGATAACGCTCAGCAGTTCTCTTGTGTTACTTTAGTGTCTTTCGCCGGCGCGAGGCGGCGCCACCGCCGCCGAGAGAGGAAACAATAGACGGCGCAGCGGCGCAGAAAGCGCGCTCGTGCTCGCCGGTGGCGGGGAGGGGAGCGAGAGGGGCAGGGGCGGTGGAACTGCTTTCCCCCTCCCTTCCTTCTCGTTATTGCCGAGATATTTCATATCGCGCCGCTGAGCGCTGCTACCCGAGTCGACATGTGGAAAGAGGAATCCAGTGGCTGCGCGTGCTAGGTTTGCAAGAGCTCGCGGGCGACTGTCAAGTGTCAGAAAAACATAGGCTTTATGTATGAATGCGAGAATGAAAATGTAGCTTCTTCGCAAACTGTAACGTTTGTATTCCAATATGGAACTTCGTGATAAATTAAATCTTCTTTTGTATTTGCATATATTGTATTCATGAAGTCTCCAGTCAGTTTTCAGGATGAATATATCCACAAAGATGAGTAGTATTTGAAATTATGCAAAATGTGAAATTGTAATATTAATTAATGTTGATTTAAAACTAAAAAAATATTACAATAATTTAGTTAGTTCACGTTAATAATTTAGGGTTATATTATGTAATCTTTCGCAGTAGGGAAATGGATGCCCAACTTTCTGCGGTTGAACTCATTTTCTAGCGTAAACAGATCACTTAAGAAATAATTTTATTGCATTTATAATTTGGTAGGTTGACTTACCTTGAGAGGGTTTTCGAAGTGGAATTTCAGTTAGATTGTAAGCATGTGTTTAATACTTACCAAGCATAAGAAATTTTACATGGATGATGAAAATAGATGTCTCAAAAGTAGAAATGATTATGGGAACCGTAATCATTTCTATTTTTATAATATTTAGCTCGTTTTCAATAAATATAAACAGATTAGGCATAGTGATAAAAAAAATTGTAGGCAAAATTTAGGTTTACTCTCCTTCAGTGAGTGAAAATCAACATATTTGGTTCCATTCAAGAGCTTTGCGCAGACCAGTTTAATCTTGCGTTCAAGATGTTACTCTTTGTCAATACTCTAGGATATAAGTATCTTTATTATTAACGTTATAAATATTGTTATTTTATTTATATACATTATATTTATTTACAGTGTATTATTCATTTTGTATTATGTTATTTATTCTATATGGAAATTTTATTTTACAGTTGGATGTACATATTTTTTGTAATATATTATTACATATTGTAATTGTATATTATAATTATTCTCATTAATATAATATTTAGTTTTTGTCTACAATAATAAAACACGTATTTTCACGAAAATTTGATCCCGGCTTCATCACTTCTTCACTTAAATCTCTCTACAATAATGCTCACTTCTCGTTAAACATGATGCACTCTTCAAATTGTGTGCGCACAAGTATTTGACGCCCACTATCATTCTGGCTGTTTATTTCACATTTCAAAGTCGTGGTGTTGCCGGCCGGCGATTACGTGTCAGTAATGAAGAACTGACCACGTGACCCGGCTGTGCCATTCGTCGGAGCACGCGCAGGTGGTTGGCGCGGCGTGGGACGTTCCCTTTAAACGGCGCGCGAGGTGCGGGAGGGGGAGGGGAGGGCGGGCGGCGCGGAGCGGAGCGGAACAAGGGCTTCTGAAGAGTATCTCTCCAGCGCTCTCTGGCGGCGCGGGGCGGTTCCCCTTGCGCGCGCAGCATCCTGCCCCCCCCTCGCTCCCCCCTCCCATCCGCCACCCTCTAGCGGCGCCCCACTGCCCTACAGCGCAGCCCTTCGCCCTGCGTTCCTCGCCCCCTCACAACGCGCCCTACGCTCGCGCCGCGGCTTTCGACGAGTTGCATCCGTTTTCTCATCTACTTGTCCGCTTGATGTTTTACCGAAATGAATAAAAAGAGATGCACGAAGCGCGAATTACAGTAATGAGACGATTTGATAAAGATTTGCTGGTAACTAGAATTCGTTGAAGTTTGCAATTTGAAGCAGTTAAAGCTGATGTTTCTGCGGAATGATCAAAAATTTTATTTATGTGATAGATAAGACAGATGGATGCCGAGTGTTCAATGGAATCAATCCACTAGTCTCTTTTGATCGTTTCTGAACTTTGAATCAATTCTTTCTTACCATTGGACTCTCTGCAAATGAGAAAATAGCACTATTTACAGTAGTGACCTCTTTTTTTGAATAATTTTTTTTCACAATTTGTTCTATTTGGAAAATTTGGTGACATTTTTAACATAAATAATGGCATGGGGAAAGATGCACCTTCTGGTGCATATTCTGAATTCAAATGTTAGTTTGAGTATTACATTAGAAAATATATTTTATGTGACAAATCTATTGTAATATATAACGATTTACTTCTTTATAAATCTGCGTGTTTCTTCACCGTTATCCAGGCTAACTGATTCGGGTGTGCGAAACTGAAAATACAGGAAAAAACGCCTAGACGAACTCCATACCACTCTCGAGGGCTTTTGAAGCGACAACAATTATATACACACGGTAGGTTTCATAAATACCGCTGGGACAACAAAGTGCTGAGAATACAATATATTAGCAACAAATTGAGAAGGAATAATTGGAGCCAAATATTATTCTAGGCAAATAGTTAATGTAGATATTAATCTATATAAGACAGTTACAACTTTCTTAAAAGTATAAAACATCTAAATAAGCGTACGTTCTTTTAAGAGAATCCCTGAATCCGTAAAGGAATGACTTCTAACGTTGCTCAACACGTCACCGTTCTATACTGATGTTGCTCAAAAGTATAGTCGATATTCATAGAAGTTCAAATCTCATTCCATTGCTAGCGAAATTTATCGTCACAACGTCTTTCTCATCAATAATAAAATTCTTCCAAACCACATCTCAACGCCTCAAAAAATTGCATTGATTCTCAAGTAAATTCTTTTCTTTAATCTTTTACCATCTAATAATAATTAATTATAATAATAATTTAAATAATAACTAGTTATAATAATAATTTCGCAGACGTAATCCGCTGTCCTTCGAAGGGAGGCGCGGAGTTACTGATGCCACAATTCCTAGAAGGCAACATTGACTCCCTGGGAGTCCGGTGTCTTCGGGATTTATAATCTGCCTTGTGCAGTGTCATTCAGCAAGTTGCTGCAACTTCTACTAAGCTACTACTGCTAGTAATAATAATAATAATAATAATAATAATAATAATAATAATAATAATAATAATAATAATAATAATTACGAAGAGGAGAGAGAGGATAGATAGTTGTTAGACGAATAAGAAGAATAAAAAGAAAATTATAGAAGTTAGAAGGAAGAGAAAAAGTAGAGAGGTAGAAGGAGAAGAAGTAGTAGACGAGAAAGGTGAACCAAAAGAAGAAGGAGAAGAAGAAGAAGAAGAAGAAGAGAAAGAATAACAAACAGAAGAAGAAAAGTGAATGACGTGTTGGAAGCAAAGTTCCTCTGCAGTCAGGGTCAATGAATGCACCCCATTTCTTTTTTCTTTTGTCCCCTCCACAGTAACCCTGTGAAAAAGGGGAATTTATTATCTATAAATGTTTTTATATTACGCTGCTCCCTTG